AAGCTAGAGATAGAGATCTGTCGGGCAAAGTCGAGGGTTGCGAGTCGGATCAATTGCTCGTTCCTCCCGTTTCCGCGCAGAGTCGAACCCGATTCGATTTCCCGCCGAATCCTTTCCGCGATACGCCTACGTATATTTGTGTAATTGGATCTTGGGATTTCGCGGGCGCATTATTTCTCCGACTGCACCCTTCTACGCGGCTGGAGAAAGCAGATTAACTGGAAGGAAAAATATCCGCCGGCGAGGGAGAATCAGCGGGGGAAACAAGATTAGCGCGAAAGGTTGACCGCGGCTAAGTAAATTAAATTTAAACATCGTCACTTCCGCTGGGAATCTGGGCCAGCTCGCGGTCGATCCTGCCGCGCGATCGTCTCGGATGGTATCGATCGCGAGATGCGATTAGGATAGGGATCAGCGCGATAATCGACTTTTCAGCAGCTCCATTTTTCGCGATACAGCCGTCTCGTGGGAATCTCCCAGACCGAGATGTCGCGTAGGTACACCTTAATGGCTTATGGAATAATTCCTCGGTGTTGTTCGGTGGCAAGAGAGCCAAGGCGCGGCGCGCGTAATAGGCTTACTCCGAGTCTAATTATCAAGCGTGCACACTCAACTCTGACTCTAATTATCGGTCTGAATCCCGCCGCAAAGGGGTTCAGAGTGTACGCGCGTACTCCGTTTGCGTTTGGGTTAGGTCAAAGACGCGGAGTGCATGCCGAACGAATGGCCTTTGTATCGGATGGCAATTCCGATACAAAGAGGCGGGAACGGGCCCGGTGTCGCGTTTGTCGATCGTCGAACGAGGGACACCGAGGGCGTCTGCGACTGAAAATCTCGTTTCGCCGTTGAAACGCTAGAAACAATGGCTCTTTCGGCTTATTGCTCGACCTCGATCCCTTACGTAAGCGCGTATTAATTTCAAACAGTCGCTCGTCGAACAGACTCGAGGCTGTGTACCGTTCTCGCTCGTCCACGTGGATCGTTCGATCGTCCTGTTCGCGTCCAATCTGTTGCTCGCGTTACGCCTCGCGAGCTGTCGGGAATTTTCCGATCTTCGTCGACGACGATCGAGGATCGATGACGGTTCCAACGTAGACTAGGCGAATATCGATTCGTTTTAGACCGGACCGGTCAAATTCGTTTCTGGAGCAGCGATAAACGCGTCGCGATCACGCTTCGACGAGAATTGGTCGGCACTTTGCAGTCGGAAAGCCATTTCTCTCGAACGGTTGTCCTCGCGTAGGTTGCGGAAGTTCGGAAACTCGATAATCGCGACACGGACGCGGATAGGTTTCCGTAGCTCGGCAAAATGGTGGCTCGCAGCGATCGGAGAGCTTGCATCGTAATTGATCGGTCGTGGGGAAAATTTTGGAACGTCCATAGAGTCCGGTGACCCGTTGGAACCGACTATGCCCCGCGTTCGATCGCTCGTCGAGCAACGCGTCCGCTCGGAAAGATTGGCGCCGCTGGGAAAAAATAAAAAGAGGAAAAAATATGTAAAAAGGAGGAAGAAATATGCCCTCTTTGCCTTGGCGCCGTTTCATTATTGTCGTTAATCGAATTTCGCCCTCGGGGTCGACAGGTTTTCGCCCGAGTAAACGGTCAAATTGAATCACACGTAACGACGAGCAGGGAAAGGAAGAAAGGACGGCGGCGCTGTAAAATACAGCCGCTGTCGATAATATCCGAGTATTAATTCGCAATTAGCAAGCGTGCGAGCGGGCACGAGCCATGGACGCGTTAATTGTCGGCGTGTAAAGCGCGCGCGGCCGTGCCGCGTTGGCGCGAATTTTAAACGAGTTTCACGCATTACGCGCGGCCGGTCTCCAAACCGTGCGAAAAACGAACCGAGCGTCGCGGTCGTTTCGTAATTTCTGCTTTACGTAATTGGCATCGATCGTGGAAGCTCGGAACGAAAGCGGGAGAAAGCGATCGCGAGTTACGGCGATTCGGTTTTGAGACGAGCAAGCCGCGGCCGTTGTACTCCTCCACGGTTAGCCATCTCGCGAGTCGCGTTTCGTTTCGAGAACCCATCGTGCACCACGATCGCGATTATGCGCTTTCACTTTTTTTTTCTCTCTCCTTCTTTCTTCTATTTTTCTTTCTCTCCGTAGGAGAATCTGAAATTAATTACCGGTCGTTTCGAGCAACTGGAGCATGCTTCGGTATACTTCTCCTTTTTTTCTTCTCTCTTTTCTTCTTTTTCTCCGCTTTTCCCCCAAACTTCGATTTCCCTCAATACGCCGATAATCGTTCGAACCTTTGCCCTACGAGTGGTTTGAATCAGTCGCGCCGATTTCACCGATAGCCCGTCTTCGCTACCGATACGATTCCATTCGATTCGATACGATCGATACGATCGAGCGAAAAATTAGGGGAAGAGATGTATCGCGATCAGACGCTCGCTCGTGTCGTCATACGTCCACGTATCCGAGATATTTCAGGGGAGTTTATCGCCGCGACGCTTGGTGGGAGTCGGCCTATTTTCGAGGACAAATCAATTTTTCCACGGGTATGCGGAGCTGCAGTAATTTCCGCGGGTCTTGCGGTTTCCTGCT